ATAAAAGCAGAGATGCGGCCGGTATGTCCATAGAATACTGCTCTAAGGTAGTTCAGCTCTTCTGAATATCTGCCCCTCTTCTGAAGATGAGCCAAACTTGTGTCTTTTTCCCATTGATCTACCTATAAACTTTAAGTAAGTTCATATGAAAATGGCCTGCATCTGGATAATTCATGGTTTTGTCCATTTCTGATCATATTTCCAAGGTTAGTGTCTTCAAACTTTATCCCCCTGCAGGAAAGGGCTGCTCTAGGACACTAAATTAGTTTTCAGGATGAAACTGCTATGATTTGAGTTGAGCTTATGTGTTCCTTATCACCCAGCAAAAGAGAGAGAGTTAAAAGCAGCATTTTTGCCACTGTCGCCTACTACTTATGACTCTCTTGCATATATATTTGAACTCCAAGTGAGCCCTCTAGATGGGAACAAGTTTACCACTAGGAACTCTAAGTCTTTCCATCCTAGTCCAGAGAACCTTGGGTCACCCCTGAGATGCACACATCTACCCAGTATGACGTACAGGAAAATGGGTATCTCTTGTATTTTCTCCTCATTCTGTGTTTTGATCAAGATCAAGCTGCTTTTACTCATATATGGAAGAATAAAATCCGAGGACTGCAGATCATCAGTGAGGCTAATTGATGGGGACAGGAAAAGCCCCATATACAGGCTGGTTCAGCATAAAGACTTTTCCTCTGCATCTGGCCACTAGGGCTGTGTGAAGCTTTGGTCCCCAATTTCGTTTCGGTGAAGATTCAGCCCGATTTGGTGGCAGAAACTCCAAATCCGAATCGAATCAGGAGACCCTTTAATCTCTGCAAATCGACTTGGAACGCTCCAAATTGATTCGGAAAGATTCAGTGATTCGGACATAGACCCAGCTTTAAATATTTTTTTCTACATACCTCTAGGTAGCAGGCGGCTCATGAATGCTGTGATGCTGGGGTGCATGGAGCATCCCACAGGAGTGCAGGGGGCTCTCCAGTGTGCTCAACAGCACATCCAGAAATGGACCAAAAGCACTTCCGGTCCACTTCTGGGTCCTCCGGGGACCACGCAAGGGGCCCCCCCGTACTCCTCCTGCTTGGTGACTGGTGCCTCCTGGGCCTGGGGGGAGTACCTGGGGGGTACTTATGATCCATTTCCAGGTTTGCCACCAAACACACGAAGGGGTGCGCCTTTGGGACTCTCCATGTGCCCCAGCATCACAACGTTCATGAGCCATGCCTGGTGCCTTGAGGTATGTAGAAAAAAGATTTAAATCTGTGCCTATGGCTGAATCACTGACTCTCCAGATCAGCATGGAAACTCGATTCAACCGAATCTGAAATCAGGGACAGTGATCCAAATCAACAAATTGAATTGCTGTACCTGATTCAGGCTGAATCAGAATTGAATACAGCTTGTTTCGCACACCCCTACTGGCCACCTTTGGTTGTACTTGACCCTCCATGACACATCTCTGGCCTTTGCACAGAGTTAAATCATGTACTTTTATTAGGGTGACCATACATCTAGGATTGTCTGGGACAGTCCTGGACTTCGGAGGCTGTCCCAGCAACCCGGCAGCTTGGTGTAAATTGAAGCAAAAGTCCTGGATGCAGTTGCTGGAGGCAGAGGCTGCTGCCACCCACAGTGCCCAGCCCGGCTCCTGCTGAGCAGCGACTGGAGGCAGGGGACAAGGGCAGGCTGGCCAGGGCACCGCTCCTTCTACCTGGGGTGATCAGGTGGGATGGGGCAGGTTGGGGGGTGGGGCTCGGCCTTGCATGTGGCAGCAAGGGGGAGGGGCCACTT